CATCGTTAGGTGATCCAGTGAATAAACACCCCCTTATTTCAGTACTTGATAATGCTATGATGCTTTAAAAAAAATAAAACGCAACTTCAATAACTATATTTTGAATTCTTTTTTTCACGGTGAGAAAAATAAAACTATTACATGCAATTAATTCCACTTCAAGCATATCAATACAAACACTCAACTTATAATTTTTTCAAAGAAACAATGTGTTGCAGAGATAATAACAAATTCAAAAGAATTTCCAGATAAGTGTCTGTGACCAGGTAATCCAAAACATTGCTGGATGACTTCCTATTGCTTGGCAGTAAGCTATTACCAGCACCAATCAATCTAAAGAAAGGCTTTCAAGTTCTTATTTTTAATCAATATATATGAAATGTTCCTTCACTGGTTGATTGGGTAACTATTAGAGATTCTATTTAAGAGAAAGTTTACCAATAAATCTACGAGATAAAGATTTAAATTGGGACCTGGACATAAACATTTATTAAGTGAAAGCTGTTCATTTTCCTGAGCACCAGCATCAAACACAAAGCGTAATTTTCTCGTTATGCTTTCTTTTTTTAATACAGGCTGATGCGGAAGATAAAATAAATGTTAATCGTTTGGAACTATTTATATCACCGGTTCTACGATACCTTTCTCTAAATGTTCATTTAATACTCCCTTATACTGTTGATATAGACTATCATTGTTATGAATTCTTGTGACAAGACTTTTAAATCTCCGTTCGGCCAAATTGTCGTTATCATGTAACTCAGGTATATCGCATTTCCAGTGCAAAGAATCTTCATAACGATCCTTCTTAAATGTAATAGTTTCATTAAAAATTTGTAACGCTAAATCCTCTCCCAGAGTCTTCAAATCATCTTTTATCTCGATGCTTTCAAGGTGCCAGAATCCATTAAAATTATTTTTTAGAGATACCTGATTTTTTACTAAGCAACAAGCTAAAGTATTTGCAGAATTGTTTCCATTCATAATCCCAGTAGTTATCCATCCCAATTTACTTTCCACCAAAATAATATCAGCACCCCTTATTTTGATTTGATTTGAGCCTAAAAGTTTATAAAATAATTCTGCCCCAATTAATAAATCGATTTTACCTGGTTTATTAAAATTAGGATCAGAATACGCTAAATGAGAGGGAAAATTTATCTTAAATATATCATAATATTTAGAGGGTGTTAATTCCATGATTTTTGGTACAATTAAGATATCAATATTTCGCTGAAAGTCTTTTTTCTGATTAGAAACACAAGTGGATGCTTTTCTTTCATCTGTCATTTTTGATCCATCAATGCCAGACATGGAGGAATATATTTATTTATTTTTCAATCCTAATAAATTAATCCTTTTTTTATTCAGTCCAATATTTCATTTGTAGTTCGAAAGTTGGAAATTTTTTTTCAACATTAATCATTTAACATCGTCTAGTTACATTTCAATTATTTTTCCATATCTTTGAAAAGAAAGTGTTTTTGAAAATATATCATAATAAAAGATTTATATTAAAATTAAAGTTTCTCAAGTCTACCCTACAAAGCGTTCATTATTACGTTTCACACACTCTAGCTTTTCACTTCTTTCCATTTTTATACACAATTTCTAGTACAAACATGGAGAAACATAGAAAGTAACTAGAAAATAATTAACTGAGATAAGCCATGAAATCGCATTAGATTCAGGGTACTTATAGTAATATGGTAGCCGTTTCTGTCTTTCATTTTCGTTTTAGAAATACACATGTTTTAATTTGATATTATCTGAAACATTTTTTGTATAGTTTTACATTCGATGCACGTAATATTTATTCTTTTCTTAAGCAGAAACCTTTGCTAAAATAAAATGAGATCATACTTAGAATGACTTTGAATATTTGTACAGAAATATTTCGAGTATCAGCACGAAGAAAGAGAAGATATAACCAGAAAATAGTAAAATGAGAACACCTGAAATATCTTCCAGATGTATTGGATTCACATTATTTGAAGTAAAATCTGAGTCTTTCATTACAACAATAGGTATTTTCATCTGAACCTCTTTAAATACTTTGTGGTATAATCCTGCACTGAACGAGCGGGAAATGAACGTATTTATTCTTTCTTCTAAGCAGAAATGTTTGCGAAAATAATAGGATAGCATAATAGGTGAAATTCTGTCATCACATATGAATAAATTTGGATTTGTACCAAACTTTAACCTCAAGTAAGTCTCTACAAAATTAAATGCATCACCTTCCTCTAAAACTTCACGAAAATCTAGCTCGGTTCCAGGACTATAATAATAATTTTTATCATCCATTTCTTTTGCCAAAATTCTCATTTTCTCATTGTTTTGAAGTTTTAGCGCGTTTGTGCCTTGAGTATAAAACATATAAGATTTGCGTGTGCCAGCAACCACGGCATCCGAGAGTTCCTCATAATTCCGTACTGGAGGATCTTTTAAGGGATTCACCATAAAGGAGAAAAAAACTGCTGAGTAACTGAATGAAATTACCATGGTAAAGAACAGCCAAAAGAGAAAAAATAATCTTCTTTTCAAAGATTTAAGAGGAAGGTCTACCGCCTGCCTTAACACTGTACCAAGCATATGAAAACACAGATCTGTATATGATTGCTTAGTTCTAAATATTTTGATTGCAACTAGAGGAAGTAAAGTAAAAACGATGCCTAATCCCAACCATGTTTCAAAAGTAAAAGGATAAATGAATGCAAATTTTGTAGATATGGGCACAGACTTTCTTATCACAAATGTGAAATAAGTGAAGCTGTAGGGGTTGCTGAAACTACCTTCAACAAATGACTCGTATGACACAACTTCGGATGTGGCTATGTCTGCTTCTCCGGCATTCACAGTTTCTAAAGCATTTTTGTACTCATCAAAATCAAGGTGATGTATAAATTTCACATTTACGCCCAAGAAATCGAGCAACAGTTGCAAAAATTTTCCCTCAAACCCTGTAAGTTCATAGCGTCCATCTGAGAAAGTAGTCAAATTTAGGACGTCTTTCAATTTAATTATCGAAACAGTTATGTTCTTAATGTCGCACATTACTTCTGAAATGCAAACTATGTTATCTGTTTTAAAAACCTAAACGTTTCTGTGTAATATTCACCAATCGTTTATGATAATGTATTTAATCCATACTTATTCCATTGCATTATTCACTAAAATATGTGAACTTGCATCACGCATAAATTAAGACGAAAATAAATTTACTTTAATTTCACACATTACTTCAGAAATTTGAACTCTCTGTTCTATTTTAGAAACTAAACGCCTGTTCCTTTGCAATATTCACCTATCGTTTCTGTTTTTATATTCGATTGCATTATTCTTTGCAATCGGAGCACTAGTAGCACATATTAATGAGAATGGCTGTAAATTTTCTTTAATATTACACATATCTTCTGAAATGCAAACTGTCTATAGGATTTAACAAACTAAACGCTTTTTTCTTATTGCAACATTCACCTATCGTTGCTGTTAATTTACTTTTTTAATACTTATTTTACTGCATTAGTCACTGAAATATGTTTGCTTGATCAAGACAAAATTTGAAAAAAAAACTGCCAATTTAATATTTCGCGTTGAATATCTAAATGTTATTGCTTCATAGCGATAAAAACGCACGCACAGTTGATGTGTTATTGAATTATAAATTTAATGGATTATTTAAACAAATTATAAGTAAATAATGCGACGACATACAAATCAGAGAAAAACAAACATTGAAAGAAAAAACAATCGTGATATCACGAAGTGTTTGATTTCATATTACAGATTATTGAAATAACTTTCTGTTGCGTGACAAACTTTTGGAGAATAAAATTATTAGAAAAATATTTGTAGTCCAAATTGTAAGTCACCACGTTATAAAAACACCGTTAGCGTTTGTTTATTTATTTTTGCATGAGATTATGTCAAGAATCTGATAAAAAAAAAGTCACCAATCTTTTATTTTTACTCAATTTTACTTATATATTTTCGTCATTGGATTTCATCTCTAAGAGCAAGAATGAAAAATCAATATGATTGAAATTGCTTTTTTAATGTAATTTCAGAGGGAAAATCCCAAATAAATTACAATTTTCAACAAACAAGTTTGAAATGTCTGGTTGCATCATATCTTTAATGACATCGAAGCCTATCTAAGCTCAAATATTGAAAGTAATACCAACAGCGAAACAGTTTCCAACATGTTAATAAATTATTTTCCAAGATTTCAAACTTCTTGTCGGATTGAATTGACAAACTGATCATTGTCTATTTAATACCAAGTCAGTTTCAACTCTCTTGAACCTATTGACGGTTCTGCACGCAAAAAGTCGTATTTCACCCTGCAGTCCTTTCCGCATAGCAAACCTAGGATTTGAAAACCTAGGATCTGTTTTAAGAAATCTTACATCAGATACCTTAATAAAAATATAAAAATATTAATGTTTAATTAAATTGTAAATACGCAGCCTGAGTCAATAAAATAATTACAATTTTTTCATCCGGTTATTATTTTTTGACCGAATATTTATTGCTAATGTACAGTTCACAAATAACTTTTGATCTAATCTTCGGATTCTCACGTTCTAGAACTCGTTCTTAATGCTTCAAAATTTAAAAAGTCAAATATACCTATTAATAAGTGCCGACGATATTTTAAGTTTCGTAATCAGACACACAAACGTACTTTCTCTGTATAAACATATCTTTTTTTTCCGATGGATTCAGATTTCTTACTCCCGAAACAGAGGCAGTACTGACGAAACACAGGTCAAAGGGCGAATCTGGGAAATATGGTCTCTATAGTTCTATTAGGAGAATAATCCAAAGTTTAGACTCCTCTATGCTAATTTTACTGTTTTTAAAATGTATTTCGCCATATTTCCAATCATGCTGTTGAAATATCTAAGTTTTATTGCTTCACGGCAATGGCAACGCACGCACAGTTAATAAATTATTGAATACCAGCCGCCTAAGGCAGCCAGCTGTCCGCCACGCTATGTTTCTTGGGTCCTAGCACTGCTAGTAGAGACACGATCCTCTTCCAATCTTCTTTGACGTTTCTCAGGTGTTTCTCGGACCCTAGCACTGCTAATTGAGACACGAACCTTTTCTAATCTTCTTTGATCTTCCTCAGGTGTTTCTCGGACCCTAGCACTGCTAGTAGAGACACGATCCTCTTCCAATCTGCTTTGACGTTCCTCAGGTGTTTCTCGGGCCCTAGCACTGCTAGTAGAGACACGATCCTCTTCCAATCTTCTTTGACGTTTCTCTGGTGTTTCTCGGACCCTAGCACTGCTAATTGAGACACGAACCTCTTCTAATCTTCTTTGACGTTCCTCAGGTGTTTCTCGGGCCCTAGCACTGCTAGTTGAGACACGATCCTCTTCCAATCTTCTTTGACGTTTCTCTGATACTTCTTGGTCTCTAGAATTGCTTGTCGAAATTCGGTCATGTTCCATCCTTCTTTGACATTCCACAGACGTTTCTTGGGCCCTTCTTCCTCTTTGAGATTCTCTTAATATCTTTTTCCTTGACACAATACAAAATTTTTTGGAAGGCGGTTCTGCCATGTCAGTAATCGGGTTTTTAAGAAGTCAACGAATACTTTAGAACAACAATTACTATGAAAGCAAATCATGAAACTTCAATATTAGGATCTAAGTGCTTACCTGCAAACTGAAACTTTCTGAAAATAACTAATAACATGTGGCGACCGCCACCTATCGTTAAATACTTACACTGCGCGAAACCGTTTACCAGTTGTCGCGTGCAATCATTATCTAGCCACGCGCTTGCTTTTTATAAAGAAAAACAATTATCGTTCTTTTTCTTGCCATATTTTTACAGATCTGTTATATTTAATAATAAAACTTGTTAAGTTTGTTTGTTATGTGAATTCGTGATTATTGATAAGTTAATTCACCTTCTGATCCATACTTACCACTTACTACACGAATTTACACTGGTGACCCGGACAGAGAATTTATACTAGTGACAACAAACTGTGAATTATGCCGAACACGAATGAAAGTGAAACTGGCACTACTGAATTGTCTCGAGTTGCCGTAAAATGTCCACAATTTTGGAAAGATAATCCTATCATCTGGTTTTCGCAAGTCGAATCGCAATTCGTTACGAGTGGAATAACACAAGACAATACAAAGTACCATATTGTCGTAGCATCAATCGAAACTGAAATCTTGGCGCAAGTAAGTGATATAATTACTTCACCTCCAGTTAATGATATGTATAAAGCATTAAAAAATAGACTAATTGAAGTATTTAGTGATTCGGAAGAGAGACGACTTAAAAAACTCCTTCAAGATATCGATTTAGGCGATAAACGCCCATCTGCATTGCTTCGCCAAATGCATGATTTAACTGGCGATAGTGTGGATGACAAATTTTTGAGATCGTTATGGCTGCAAAGACTGCCAACACAGATGCAAGCTATACTTAGTACTTCGTCTGACGAGTTAAATAAACTAGCAATGATGGCCGATAAAATTGCCGATGTGTCAAATTCAAATGAAATTCACTCTGCTACGGTAAAATCGCCACTGCAGTCTGAAAACGAAATTGTTGGTTTATCTGACACTTTAATTACCATGCAAACTCAAATTAATGAACTGAGTAAAAAACTAGATAAAGCATTGAGATTTCGTAGTCGACAACGATATCGNTTCACTCTGCTACGGTAAAATCGACACTGCAGTCTGAAAACGAAATTGTTGGTTTATCTGACACTATAATTACCATGCAAACTCAAATTAATGAACTGAGTAAAAAACTAGATAAAGCATTGAGATTTCGTAGTCGTAGCCATAACAGGAATGAATACACACGTTGTGATCGATCTAACAGCAAAACACGGATGTGTTGGTATCACTTTAGATTTAGAGACAGGGCAAACAAATGCATTCCTCCTTGTAGTTTTAAGCCGGAAAACTAGGATGCCAGACGTCACTGGTGGCAGGCGTTTATGGCAAGGAAAATAAATGCCGCTTAATCATCTGTGAGAAGACATTAGGTCTTAAATTTCTTGTAGATACAGGTGCAGATATATCCGTCCTACTACCATCTGTTGCAGAACGCAAAAAACAAGAGTCAATTTTAAATCTAGTAGTTGCTAATGGATCCAAAATTCCTGTTTATGGAAAACGTTTTTTAACTGTTGACATAGGTTTACGTCGTCTTTTTAAATGGACTTTCACGGTAGCTGATGTTTCCAGACCTATTTTGGGTGCAGATTTTTTGTCAAATTACGATATACTTGTCGATTTAAAGCGAAAATGTTTGATTGACAGATTAACATCAGTTTCCACTAGAGGTAAAATAAGTACAGACAGTTTACCTAGTATAACTACTTTAAAATCTTCTTTTGAACTTGATAGCGTCATCAAAAAATACAATACCGTATTTGATGATATTGAATATACGCCAAACCAAACTCAAACTCACGATACCACTCATGTTATTGAGACTAAAGGACCTCCTGTGGCAGCTAAGGCTAGACGATTATCTGCTGACAAGCTAGAAGCAGCTAAAGCTGAATTTTCTGTTTTGGTCCAGAAAGGGATTTGCAGCCCTTCTAATAGTTGTTGGAGTAGTCCTCTACATTTAGTTAAAAAATCAGATGGATCTTGGAGACCTTGTGGGGATTTTCGGGCATTAAATGCAAAGACAGTACCGGATAATTATCCCATACGTCACTTACATGACTTTTCCTCGAATTTGTATGGAAAAACTGTCTTTTCCACTTTGGATTTAAAAAAAGCATTCCATCAAGTGCCAATGCATAAAGACGATATAAAGAAAACCGCTATCATAACTCCCTTCGGTTTATTTGAATTTAACTACATGACCTTTGGGTTAAGAAATGCCGCCCAGACCATGCAGAGACTCCTTGATCACATCCTTCAGGGTTTAAACTTCTGTTTCGTATACATTGATGACATACTCATCGCTTCTTCCTCTATTGAAGAGCATTTGTTACATCTAGATGAAGTACTCCGTAGGTTGAAGGCACATAATTTGAAGGTAAATTTATCTAAATGCGTGTTTGCTACTGACAAAGTTAAATTTTTGGGTCACTTCATTGACCAAAAAGGTATAACTCCACTTCCTGAAAAAATTCAAATAATTGAGAATTTTCCCAAACCTTCAACTGTTAATGAACTTCGTAGATTCCTTGGCATTATTAACTTTTACAGACGATTTCTTCCTCGAGCTGCTGAAAAACAATTTGTTTTAAATGGAATGTTGGGTGTCACAAAGAAAAATGACAAGACTCCTTTAGTATGGTCAGAAGAGTCAGAAAATGCTTTTACTCAGTGCAAAGAAGAGCTAAAAAATGTAACTTTTCTTGCCCATCCTGATTCTAAAGCAACACTTGCACTAATGTGTGATGCTTCTGATAAGGCCATTGGAGCATCGATTCAGCAAGTAACCAGTGACAATAGTTGGGAGCCTCTTGGTTTTTTCTCTCGTAAACTTAGCATGACAGAGCAAAAGTACAGCACATATGACCGAGAACTTTTAGCCATTTTTGCAGCTATTAAATATTTCCGATACATATTAGAAGGAGTAAACTTCATTGTTTTCACTGATCATAAAGCTTTAACTCATGCCTTGAATCAAAAATATGACAAACTCTCACCTCGACAAATTAACCATCTAAATTTCATTGCTCAATTTACAAGTGACATTCGACATATTGACGGATCACAAAATCCTGTTGCAGATGCCTTTTCAAGAATCAACAGCATTAAGTTCCCTCAATCATTGAACTTCGATGAAATCGCTCATTCTCAAAAAAATGATCCCGAATTGCAACAAATTTTATCTGATACAAATTCTAGCCTTAAACTTCAACAACTTCCAATACCCAACAGTGAAAATTTCATATTCTGTGATACGTCCACTAAATTCATTCGTCCATTTATTCCTGAAAAATTTCGTACCCAAGTATTTGATGCCCTGCATAACCTTGCTCATCCTGGTGTTAAAACTACTGTGAAGCTAATTACTGATCGTTTTATTTGGCCAAACATGAAAAGAGAAATCGCAAAACTAGCCAAATCATGCATAGCATGTCAAAAAGCAAAGATTTCTCGCCATGTTCACTCGCCGCTGCAAGAATTTATTGTTCCAAGCAAAAGATTTAGCCATATAAACATTGATTTAGTTGGACCTATGCCTTCTTCACAAGGGTTTTCATATTGTCTCACATGTATCGATAGGTACACGAGATGGACTGAGGCAATACCGTTGACAAATATACAAGCCGAGACAGTTGCTCAAGCTCTTTACACTCATTGGTTTGCTAGATATGGGATTCCTGAAGGTATAACAACTGATCGAGGATCTCAGTTCAGAAGTGAACTGTTTCGTACTTTAGCAAAAAACTTTGGTATACGTCTTTCGTATACAACGTCATATCATCCTCAAGCGAACGGAATGATAGAAAGGTGGCATAGGGTTCTTAAGCAGTCCATTATGTGTCATACCTCAATCCATTGGACTGTTGCTTACCTGCTGTGTTACTTGGATTGCGCTCTGTGTATAGAGAGGATTTGGGATGTTCTCCAGCTGAGTTGGTTTATGGAGAGAATCTGCGTCTTCCGGGACAATTTTTTACCTCTTCGGAAATAGAAAAGGTCGATAATATGTTTTTGCAAAAATTGAATCGTCACCTACAAGATCTTAAGCCAGTTCCGACCTCTTCTCACGACAAAAGACATGTTTTTGTTTTCAAAGACCTGGTTGCGTGCACACATGTTTTCTTACGAGTTGATGCAGTAAAACCAACTCTTCATACACCTTACACTGGACCCTATGAAGTTTACAGTCGCAACGACAAAACTTTCACTATCAGAATAGAAGGTAAAAACTGTGTAGTATCAATTGATAGAGTTAAACCAGCTCATTTACTCTCAGATAGTTCTGATTTAGCTGAACCGCCAGATATTCCTTCCAAATTGATACAAAATGCTCCTGTTTTACGGCCAACTGAAAATGATCGAATTCCTATAGCTATAAAAAAGACTCGTTTTGGACGAGTAGTACACTTCCCAAAAAGGCTAACTGAGGAATTTGAACTTTAATTATTTTTTCCAGAAGGGGAGATGGTGTGGCGACCGCCACCTATCGTTAAATACTGACACTGCGCTGAAACCGTTTACCAGTTGTCGCGTGCAATCATTATCTAGCTACGCGCTAGCTTTCTATAAAGAAAAACAATTATCGTTCTTTTTCTTGCCATATTTTTACAGATCTGTTATATTTAATAATAAAACTTGTTAAGTTTGTTTGTTATGTGAATTCGTGTTTATTGATAAGTTAATTCACCTTCTGATCCATACTTACCACTTACTACACGAATTTACAAACATTTAATAAAAACTGTTAAAATAAGGAAAAGAATAAACAAAGAGATCCATGGTAAGTGTGATAGTTCCTTCAAAAACAATTAAATTCATATATTATATATTACATAGCTACGACGCTTAAGAAAAAAAAACTAAAATGCTAAATACATGAAAAGCACACGAAAACGAATAAATTTTTTATGGTATCAATTTCTATTTCTATATAATTTTTTATGGTATCAATTTCCATTTCTATATCACTACAAAAATTATCGTCTTTGCTTAAGAAAAGAAATGAGCGTGGAAAGAAGAAGAAAAACTTATTACAACACTTATGAACAGCGACAAATATATCAAAGCGAAGCGTTCTATTTACGTATCGAATTTGTTGCCACATTTTTAATACAGAAGTTAAACTTTTCTCCACTTCGATAAATGTAAACTAATGCGAACCCTACAATTAAATTATTAATTCCTTCGTATATTATTGGTNTAAAGAAGGAACGTTGCAATGCTACACGCTACATTAACGACGTCTCCAGAGTAACTGAATAACGGTTCATATAGAAATCGCAGGTAAGCGTCTCATAGAACAACGCCCCCTATAGTTCGTTGCGATCGCGAATATGCATTTTTAATAGTTCTTTGAATATGGCTTTTTGAAGACAAAAAAGCATAGATTTTCTTACAAAATGACTGATATCTAATCCAAATTTTTGANCTTTTGAAGACGAAAAAGCATAGATTTTCTTACAAAATGACTGATAACTAAAAAACTAATCCAAATTTTTGAAAAAGAAAAAAAAATACTTCTTCATTATGTCAAAACGTAATTATGCGCCGAGTTTCGTGCTTGGGCGAGGCTTCTGGGGCGATATATTGTGATTACAGACAGACACACACAGCCGCGTTTATTATTATGTATAGATTAAAGTTAATGGATTATTTAAACAAATTACGAGTAAATAATACGACAATGCAATTCCAAGCTCGATTTTTGATTGGAAAAGAACCGTGATATCACGAAGTGTTTTGATTTTATTTTCTCAGATTCTTTTACTGTTTTTTTTTTGCGTGACAAACTGTTAGGTTTTTAATTTTAAATTTATCGTGAGTAAAATATTTGTTGACTTAGATGGTAAGTCACCACAGCATAAAAACAACGTAAACGTTCATTTTTTTTATAAAATAATGCCAATAATCTGATAAAAGAATGGCGCCGGTTTTTTATTTTAATTTCATATAATTTTGTCATTGGATTTTATTTCCAGGGTCAAGAGAGTAAAGTCAATATGATTGAAAATGTTTTTCAAATGGAATTTTGGGCAGAGATTCCCAATTAAACTACAATTGGTTACAAGATTCATAATTATAGATTTTTGAAAACATCATAGTTTTTTAATACTTATACTTTCTATTTTAGACAAAATTGGCTGAATGAAAGCCTCGATATCTAAAATAAACGATACTTTTGTGTTAGCCAGTCACAAGCGAATAGTCACCAAAAAATGCACACCTTCACCTATTTAAATTTTTAATGTTTCCTTATTTATTTACTTTTAATCACATAAAATGAAATACAATAAAATAAATTAAATAACATTAAATAAAAAAAAATTTAAAAAAAGGTGTATTTCCTTGCGTTTGGCTAATCGAAAAGTGCCAAACAAAATTTTTATAAAAAATACAGGATTATCCAGAATGACCAACTTTTTGACTTCCCATTATCAAAAACTTACAACAATAATTTATTTCATAAATATTTTGCTATGCTTTGCTTATACCTCTCTTCATAAGTGTTAAAATATAATTGCAAGAGAAGTAAGTTGTTGTTGTAGTTAATTTACGTCGCACTAGAGCTGCACAATGGGCTTTTGGCGACGGTCTGGGAAACATCCCTGAGGATGATCCGAAGACATGCCATCACAATTTTGATCCTCTGCAGAGGGGATGGCACCCCCGCTTCGACAAGAGAAGTAAGATGAATGCCTGGTGCAAAATTATTTAATTATAAAACTCCGGGGGGAAAATGGCATCACTTCCCAAGTTCCCCTAGTTAGTGATATATCCTAATTTTAAGTTTTGAAAAATCTGGTTGCATTATATTTCTAATGACAGACTTCGAAGCTTGAATATTGAAAGTCGTACCTACTGGGGAGCGAGTTCCAACATTTGTCAATTATTTCCCAAGATATCAAAGTTCTTCTCGGATTGAGTTGATAAACTGATCATTGTCAATTTAATACCAAGTTAGTTTCAATTCTTTTTAATGATTGGTCGAACATATTAATTGTGGTCGAATATTTTTAAGTAATTTCAATCTTTTTAATGAATGATTTGACCCACTACTCGTATAAACTACTGCAAAAAGAATGAATACTTTTAATTGTACAATAAAGGTATTTATGTTCAAATAAGATTTCTATAAATCTGTCAATAGTATTAAATACTTTTATAATATTCAACTTTTATTCACTTTGATTTTATTAAGCCTGGTTAGAATTCAATTTAAAAAAAAATCTGTCCTGCTTATGCTTAATTAAATTAATTTTATCTTGAGAAATGTAGTATATATGCATCCTAAGCTAATAATTTCTATTTTATATTGTATCGTAAAAGTAGATTTACCAACTCATATACCCATCATTGCTTATATATTTCATTTAGTGATTATATATTTCAGTGATCGTGAATAACAAAAATGGAGACTGCTACTTTTCAACAAGTAGTTTGGAGAAAACTTTTGTCACATCACTATCTTTGGTTATCCATGGAACACCACTTTGGCGTGATCTCGTTGTCACCGTTTTTAGCGTAGAGGTGCACAAAAGTTTTACAGTGAACGCGTGTGCATTCAGTACAGCTTTATAAAATATTTTGCCCTACTACTAAAGACTTGTTTTAAAAACATTTTGTTTAACATAAAATCATTTGTTATAAAAAGAAAGAAGAATGGAATATCTCCCTCCTTCTCTCTACAATTACAACTCAGTGAACTTTTTAAACTTTTTCAGAATAAGCTTTTTAAACTGGTTTAAAAATTTAAAGTCCGCTCCACCATCTCCACTTTCAAGTGATGTACTTAACTTGATAGCAAACTTGGTAGCAAAAAAACTAACTTATTTTATTTTAATTGTTGTTTTTTTTCTTAAAATAAAATAGGTTTCTTTAATGCACAAGGACTTAATCTCAACTTTTTTAGAATCACGGTTAAAAATTCACAATTGTTTGAATTTCCTTCGATTTTAGATTTAATAACTTTTCGAACCTTTATCATAATATGAACAGTAGTCGAGTTATCACGGAAATTTCGAACCACTAATTTTTAGATCAACACACTTGATCTGAGATCTAGCATAAAAATCTATGCATGCAAATGGTTTGATATTCTTCAAAAAATTATAAATAAAATATAAACAAAAATAGTTTTTTTCTTCATAAAAATTATTGAATGTTTGAATAAAATATATTATTTATTTCTTATTTAAATATTAAATGTGATTATAAATCTCATTATAATTATTTGGAAATTATTAAATAAGCATTCACCAGAAATTATTTTTCGAAAATTCTAGATAAATATAAAAAATAAGTCTTATTTTGATAATATTTATTTCCTTTTTCTTTATTGTACAAAATGCTGATTTCTTCATTTTTTTGAGAATTAAATTTGAGATTACACCCACTTTTTTGGTAAAAAAATATATTGACTAGTTCGTGATTTATATGGTTTAAAATGAGGAAATACAACTATATTTACACCAGAACTGCTTTTCAATAATTTTCGTTCATTTGATTATTGCATATGAATTACTATTATTATTTTTTCTTGTTCGAAACTACGATGAAATAGTTCAAAGTAAAAAACGCATCACCTAATTTTCATTTTGTAATGAAATTTTAAAGGCTTGTAGACATTAAGCTATGTTTTAAGGGATTAAAAACGTGTTTGAACGATAAATATGTAACTTTTATGATTTATGAGAGTGTAGATGAATTTTTTACGATATTGAACTTTATACAATGGTTTTATAAAACTCTAAACGAACAATGTAATAATAAATCTTGCAGCATCACCCTGGACACAATTGGAATTATTTATAATGATGACAATGAACATTTATTAAATTAATAATTACAACAGCTAAGGAAATGCTATGAAGGTGAAATACTGGCTATGACATGGAGAACTCCATTCGTCGTACCAACATCTCCATACAACATTTTATTTCCAGATATGAGGATGCAATCTAAACAGCAACAGAAAAAGAAGACATATGTATTACGCCATTTTTTTCATAAAAAAATTTGACACGTAGTTATATTATGTAACATACCAGGTGTGATTTGTACTATGAGGTAAGTACCAGCTTCAGTTAATAGTTGTTGTTGGTCATATAATCCGGTACTGTATAAGCAACTCTTGACTAGGTATTGTCTTACGAATTCTAATAAATAAAAAATATTCATAAGTAACTCAGTAGATTTAAAAATAAATTAACCTCAAGCTGTGAAAATACTTGAATAAAATATATAAAACTAATATTTATCCTTCGTGGGAGTTAATTCACGACTAGTTAATTTAATCTAGTTATCGATTTTTTAAGACTCTTAACTAAAAAGCAAAACACACTGATTTGATAGTTCTTACTTTATAGTGCTTAAAAATTTAAAAAACATTTTTCTGTAAGCTTTTCATTTTTTTGCTAATAAATACTGGTTTTATTGGTTCACTAATAGTTTTTATTGATTCTAAAATAATTTTATTGGTTTACTGGGAAGAAAATATTGTCAAAACTACCAGAATGTGGTAAAACTTATCGTATTTCTGGAAAGCTTTACATTTTTAATATTATGGAAAACAACTTGACTCACTGAGAAAAAAATGAGGTCATAAACCAGAATACGGAAACATTAAGCAGGTTTCTGGATCTATGGAAACACCAAAGTGCTGGATAATTTTTACCGAAGAGCTTTGGTTGGAATTTTGGTTATCTTAGCAAAGAAATATTGTTTTATAATATGTGATAAAATTTGGTAAATATTGTAAAACGGTGAATTTATTATGAAACCATATAGCGTGGCATAAAATTCATTTATTCGTCTAAATTTTATCTTCAGTTTTGTATTTTTCATTAAATGTGCGGTAATAACAATTACTATTTTAACTGCGATTCTACGGAAAACCATTACCATATAAACGGATAATTTACAAAATTAGAGGTTTAAATGTCATATAATTTGATTTTATAAACCAGAATTAAGATTTTTTTTACCAGAAATTAAAAGTTTTTTACCAGATTTTTTTTTTATCTTACAGTATGGTAATTTTAACAGAATTGTTTTACACCATGTGTATATCGTGTAAGAAAAGATACATATTTAAAGGCACATATTTTCTAAAAGAACAAAATTGGAAAGTCTTACGGTACTTAAATGAACAGCTGTTGAGAAAAAACCTAATAATTAGATTACTATAACTCTATTTTATATCAGATTTTAGATTTTATTATTAAAATTATGTAATTCCAAAGAATGTAAGTTCTAACTTGCAATAAAAAAATAAAAAGATTAAATTTTACAAATATTGATTTTTTCATCAGATATTTACTAACCAAATTATATCCATCTTACTCCAAACAGAATCCTGCTCTCCACGATAGGGGGCAGCGTTTGTAGAGTTTGTTTCAACTTTCGGTAGAAGATTCAGGGAGAAGAATTTCTGCTTGTGTAAACTAAATTGCATAAATCCGCGTCTCAACGGTCAAGGTAATTGCATATCAATATAGGATAATTTCCCAAATTACTTTTTTTCATATCTTCATTTGATGTTTTATAATATGAAGAACACGTTTGCTCGAAAAAACACGACACAAAAATAAAATTTAGAACAAATGTGTATTCCGAGTACATTCAAACAAATCCGGAAAGTCAATTAAAGAAATGGTCAAGTCAATGCTATGACGGCAGAAGAGAACCTCAAAATTTCCTATAGACTTTTATTATTATTATTATTTGTATGGATAGTGAATACATTTCAATTTAATTGAGTAAGTGTGACACAATTTTTTAAAAATTTGATACGATTTTAGTCAGAGAGAAAAATATGCTATTTTAGACGGCCACGCTGCACGTTCCTTTTAAATCTTAGACTTTCAATTAAATACTATTAAATGTATAAAGACGTTTCTTTTTCAGATACTCACCTATTGCTTTTTTCCTGTTAGCAATTAACTGTTGATATATTTCTGTTTCCATATTTGAGAAAGCACAGTTGTTCGGTGCAAACAAAGTAAAAGGTTCTTCGCCTGCAAAATGATATTTTAAGGAATTAAAAGTCAACAGAAGCACAAGCAATAAGAAGCAAATTCAGGAAATTTAACCATAGGTGCTTAATCTTATCAATTGTAGCATATTTGAACATTTGTAGTACATCATTCAATTACTTGATGCAACATTCATAATTATTAATTCTAAAACTGTCTCAAGAAAAAATTTAAAAAACATCGTTTGCCTTTCTTTTCGTAACGATACTCAATAAGAAATCAAATAATGCATGCATATTCCTCGTCACTCCGAGTTGGAGCATAGGGGTTCTATCATAACTTTCCAACTCATTCTATTTGTTGCCAGATATTTTGCCTCTCCCCAAGTTGTTCTTATTGTTTGCAATTCGCTTACAATCGTCCTGCATCAAGTATTTTTAGATCTTCCTCTTTTTTCTATTGCCCTGAAGTTTCCTAACAAACACTTTTTTTTTACTTCAAATTTTTCAGATTTAAGTGGAACATGACCAATCCATTTCTTGTAGTATAATCAAATCAAATAATAATGTAAAATATTTAAAATGAAGAAAAAAGGTAATTAGAGAAAAGTAAATAAGCAAACATCATGTTATAGCTTGCAATGTTGTTATTTCTCAGCAACATATTAAGATATTTTGATTTCAACATGCACCCTTGTGTAGTTTTTGCATGCTTCATAAACGATCTCGAAAGAAATTGATAAGAAGTAATCTTTGTTTGAAATGATACAAAAAATATAAGCGTTTTATTGGTGATTTGTCCACCACTTAATTAAATGTTATTCTATGTATGTTTATATAGTTTCCATTTCACAGAATATGAAGGCCAGTTGTTCGTTAAAGTTACCTTTAAATACGTCTTTTCCTCCAGCCAGTGTCAGCACCTTCGAAAAATTACTAAGCATGGGTGTTTTAGCGACTGTGAGAGCCAGATCTCCTGGTGGTGGTGTCATTGCCTCGTCTATAACCGCAACTGATACGTTACTGTCTGGAGTGATAGGACGAATAGCTCTGACTATGCATCCAGATACAGTTAGATAATTACCTGGCTGGAATAATGAAGAAAAAATATCAAACATACACTGTATTTTTTTTATTTAATTAACAACCAATTACTTTATTTTCGGGATGCATACTGTGAGGGCTCTATGGTTACAGGCATAACCAGTTATTGCGAAGAACTGAGGTTTGAGTCTCAGTGGCGACGTGAATTTGCATATCAATAAGACTGACCTTTTTTGAAAAGTAAAAGCGCTTGTTCGCAACATTTCTACAGACATACTAGACAGAATTGTTAAGCTTTAAACTCCGTGACTCTCCACCGAGTCCTCACAATGCTCTTACATGAATGCTTTACTTTGCATTATTTTATTACAATTTTACTAAGATTGATATATTTACAATTTTTTAACTAAACAATTAAAGTTCGCCTAAAAAACGAACCACCCTGAAGTAATGAGTGCAAACCATACTTTAAGTTAGAAAATCAGTCGCAAAAACGCGCTTTCTCTGAATAAACATACTTTTTTTCAATGAATTCCCAAAAATATAAGGGTTAGCTTTAATCTGTTGCATATCTCATCATATCTAATTAATTAACACATTGCAGGTCACTCAATTAAACCATTAAAATTGAGACTTAGAACTTTTAGATCCGAACATTAAATCAAAAGTTATTCAGAGTGGTCATAAAAGTCTTTTTCTTTGAAATCTGGAAAATGTTTAAAGCAATCTAATGTTGTATAAAGCAGTCTACGTGAATAAAACATAAATAAATGTACTGAAAGTTGAGCTTTATTCAAATTTTGCGTTATTTAAGTTGTTTTTTCTTTTCTGTCGTTGTTTTGGTTTATTCACTTCGTTTTACTTTACGTAGCTTAAAGTATACCATTTCTAGTTTTAGGATTCAATTGTTATAAATGCAGAATTTTTCAGAAAACACATTTGGAGGACATTCGAAAAATATTTTTAGGAAAGTATCAGGAAAGAGGTTTTATGTTTGCGAGTCGTAAACTGCATTTATAATATTTAATGGTTACATTGATCTGTCCTTAACTAGTGCTAACTTCAGATAAATTACAAATAATAAAAGAAAAGTCAAATGCGGCAGTCGAATGTTCATTAAAAATGAACTGAGGGTGGGATACCAAACAAATCGTTCATAAACTATTTAGTTTATTCAGGATAAAAAGAAATAACCTGGCCAAAGAATACTATGTTCATAACAAACAACTATTTTTACAACTAGGCCAAAGCAACTGTTTTTATAACAACGTATCGGAAAATCATTTTGGAATGCGTTCTACAGTGAACTGTTGTGATCATGCTTTTTTCGGCAAAACATTTCATCGCAAACCAAGAATAATCTCTCAGCAGGATTCTACTGTATGTCAACAAAGTTAGAGTCACTTAAAAATTGTTCAAAAAATTTATGCTTTAATTCTATCAAAGTTAGAAGCGTTTGAAAATTTTTCAAAACTTTTACTATCAGATTTTTCTTTGTGGTCTATTCTACCATGCTTTCTTGGTCACTACATTTCATCATAAACTGAGAATGGATCTTTCAGCAGGATTCTGCTATATGTCACCAAGGTTAGAGGCATTTAATTCTCCAAAATATTTACTGTCATTCTTACCGCAAAAAAAAACTGCTTACCTTATCTACCAGATTTTAATCCGATTTCTGATTTTTCTGATTAGTTCACTTTTGAGACAATGGTTAGGATTTAAACTTGACTTTTAACTCTCGAGAAAGTGCGCGAAGTATTTCATACCTACGCAAAGAAATGGAATATTTCTAATTTGTGTAACCTAAATTCTCTGTTGTATTTAGTATCCGATTTTCTTCATGATCTTGACAATGACTTTTAAATTTATCTTCCCCTTGAGTGGAATTTTTAAAAAGCAACCTGTTCCACGCACCTGTTAATGCAAGTCTATTTTTCGTTGGAGCAGGTAAATCAGAGATTCACTTTTAGGGAGAATGTAAATATTCCATCTCATAAGCTTTATTAAGTAAAAAGCATTTTAATTTGCATTTTCAGCAAATTATTAATCTGCCAGATGGTCAGTGATATTTCTTTTTGCCTTGGATGGAATACAGACTAGGGGAATAAGACTTTTCCACGAAATCCATGCACTGCATACAAAAACAGAAATGTTCCAAACAAATAGCCTTTGAAAAGACTGAGTACAAAAATATGGACAAAAATTTTAAATTATTCATTAAAATAATTATATAAATTATTTTATTCAAAAAGCACACAAATAATATAATTATTAGGTAATAGAGATGAAATTAGACTTAGCTTCAAGATTATTTTATTAGTGTTTTCATTTTTACTGACATCAATTCTTACTTTTTATTAAAATTAATTTTAATTAAGATAAGTTTCATTCAATAAGTGTTATTACAAATGATAAACAGTTTCTGTACTAAATAACATTATTTGTATTGCAGTTAGGAGCATGAGACAATCCACACTCCCACTCTCCTAACTCTTTAGGATGCATCTTCCTTCAGGACATCCGTAAAACCTTTAAGGTAAGGAATTGAGCAGAATATCAGTCATCGAGTTGGGACCTACAGAGAAACTTTCGTAAAGCTTTTAAATCTCACTTTGAACATAACCTGATACTGTTATACTTTGTATAATACTATGTTACTGTTATTCTTTTCATATTTACTTGAGTGATATTAGGATAAGCATAAGTTTTGTGTCATAAATTTCCTAGTCATTTCTTTTCAACCTGTAAAAAAAAATCAGTACCCAAAAAAAGATACAAAAAATTTTTACCATTCGGTCCTTTGCATAAATATTGCAGCGTATTCGTTTGCCGGGTAATAATGAAGGCATGAATCCATTATTTTGTACAGAATCCCACGAAAGTATCTGTGGACTGATATGAAATCGAATAAACTTGTTTAAACGTTCTGGATCACCAATGGTAACGGCTCGTAGAGTGGGAGACATTCTGCTCAGGGCAGAGTTTGTTGGTAAAAACAGGGTGCAGCCGTTTGCTCGAAGACCTAACAAAAAATTATACAATCAATATATAAAATACATTTATTTGAATTAGAGAATCAAATTACTAAAAGGAACAATCTAATTTTGATTAAAAAAATATGCAAAAATCATAGCAAATGCATATGAAAAGCATTAATATGTTGTTATACTACAATATATAACAAGTGTTGAGTTGTTAAACTTTTATTCTTTCTTTGTTCTATTTTCTGCGCCCTTGTGATGCAGTGAACTGTCAAATTTCTATTGATTGATTTCTTAATAAAGTCATATGAAACACGCGTTAATATGTAACAAATAATTTAGCAATCCAAAATTAAGCTGAGATTAAGAAATGAAACATGAGGGAAGAAAATGATGATTTGACAAAGAATATGAAGAAAAACTAAGGAAAATAGACATTAACGTTTGGTTGCTGTCTGCTTTGAAAATCAGGTTAGTTATTCTTAAAAAAAAGTTCAACATTAGTTAATATGATTGTCAACAAACAGCACTGATGACTAGAAAAGAGCTCACTCCGCACTACGCAGTTGTGTCAAATATTGAATATTTTTAAAGCAATTTTCTTTTTCTCAGTGGACAGCACCATTCGTAGGAGGCATTCACAGATAAATTTGAAACTTAATGATGTCTTAGTAAGCAGGACGCATCAAACAATGAATTTCCATCTCCTTTCGCTTTTTTTTAAACGATATTTCATATCTTCAGCCAATTTTGATTTAGCCAATTACTCTAATCTAAAATCTTCTTCAAGATCATAGAACATCGGAGAGAGTCCGACTAATATTTCTCTAATTAGTGAAATTCAGTGTATTGTCTATGGTTTCCTCGACACAATTTGCTTAATAACGCTGATGGTCATATTCAGTTAGAAATTTTCGAAGGAGTTTTCAAAACTTCTACATAAAGAGCCCATCCGGAGGTATGCGATGATTGTCATCGTGATGCAATCGGATCTGAACAAGAAAACAAAAGGTCCACACAAGTTAAGCATAGTAGAATGTCTGGTGAAATCGTCTGATGGACACCACAAATGTAGGCAAAAAAGATAGATAGACCTCGATGAGCAAAACGCTCAGTACTGGCCCCAAGGAGCAATGGTACCAAATTTAGAAGGCAGTTAAGAAATTGCATGACCACATCTGGAGTGCATTCGACAATACATCTACTCATAAGCACACCCCCTAAAGAGAAGATCAAACTGCTCATCTGTAATATACAACTGTAGTAAGAATTTAGAATATTACACTGTTATACAGTACATCCTTATAAGTTTAAAGACTTTAAACAAAGTACATTACAAAAGTAAAAGCAAAAAGATGCTCAACATGCATTGAATGGGTTAAAAGACAATTAAATCTCAGTGAAAGTTCAAACAGTTAGTATTTTTGAGATCTTTCTGTTTTAAAGATTGCTTTCAACAACCGAGAATATTTGCTTTGTATTCTAGCTTGAATTTTTCGTTCGCTTGTTTATAACTGTTACAACAAGGTTGCTCATTGTATTCCAGGCGTTGGTGGCTCGTCTTGTTGCAGTTAGCACAAGTTTCTTCATTTGTATATCCACTTAAGTATGGCCGTATCCACAACACTTATAGCAACGAAGATCAAGTTTCTTCTCTATAAAGTTTGATCTCTAATCAAGTTTGTTCAAATTATCAAACTCTTTTGTCAAGAATATTAACAGTGTAATAAGCATGATGCCCTTGGGTTTTATATATTTTTTTAGAGTATTTGCTTGATAAAGTGATTAATGATTAATCTGAATAAAATCGAAAGGCAAATATTATGTATTGCAGCTGAGTTGTCGAGAGTATTGTGTGTGATCTGAAATGCGTAAATGACATAAGGTACGATAGCGCACGAATACAAATATTGAGGGTACAGACGAAAGAATATATTGTAATGCAAAGAATGACTTACTTGGAGATCGTAATTGATTTCGTAAATGTGCTTTCTTCATCCAGTCTAGAAAAGTAGTTGCGTTAAATTCATTCCCAATTTGATTCAGTTTGTCGTCAAAATCTTGATCTGGCGAAGTTTGCTGAGCTAAATGCATTATTTTTTAATTAAATTTATTTGAGCCAAAATATTAATCAAGGAACTAATGATTCCACAATCTTTATGTAAAGTTTGAAGACAATTACTTAAATCAAAATAACTTACGTGTAGCCGGAATAAAGAGCAAGCTATCAATCGGATGAACGACTCCGTTTCCTGTGATTATTTCCTCTCCAGTTACAGGTTTCTCATTTACAAATACTCCACCTAAGGTACAAAAATAAGAGAATTTAAAATATTTAAGGATATATAAATGGAAATTTATTAGTTCCTCTGAAAGAAAATTAAGTTGGCTAGTCGAAAAATTTTTTAAGAAAGGTGTCACTGATAAAGTGTGATAAAGTGTTAGAGCATAGAAACACTCAGCTCAAACTCATTTTTAAGCTAACTTTTACCAATTAATTACAATATTTATGCTATGTCTTAACTTCATTTCGCTGTTTAACCTCCTAATCAAAATTTCTTATTTATTTTGTTTTTATTTATTCTAAATAATTTTTTTAACTGTTCAAATTATCTCAAGAATAAGATATGAGCTTCAGATCGATGAATACCGTCTAGACCAGGGATGGCGAACCAATGGCACGTGACACAATATTTTAGGCACCCCACCGATCGCAATTGTTATTGCACTATGAATTGTTATTACACAAATGTTATTACATTATGTAGCATATGTAACAATTAAATTAAAATTCACAAAAACAAACAAAGTAATAAGCAACTATTAATAAAAAAATTAACAATTAATGCTAAAAAAACAATTAATAACCATAAAAAAACAAGTTAACAATAAGTAACAAGAGAAAAAAAATTAACTGTCTTGCTTAAACTAACATCTTACAACCTAATATAAGTTATTTGTCATCTAATCTGTAGCAACCGAAGTCACACTTATGTTACTTTAAGTTGAACTACGCCTATAACTGAGACATTGCAAAATGTTTTTTTTTCTTCAATGTATAAATAATTTTGAGTTGATAGTATTTAGTATTATTATTTTCTCAATAATCACGAAGTCAAAATTATTTGACGGCACTTCTATGACATCATTAAACAATTTCTTTAGAAAAAATGGCACGTTGGTGTATAAAGGTTCGCCACCCCTGGTCTAGACTTTACTTCCGCAACTCTCTTTGCCATGAATTGGCTGTTGCGGCATTGCTTTTACTTGTAATGATGTAAGTTTTGAATGAAAAATAAAACTCTTAGCATATACATTTTTAAAAGAGATTTTTAAACTCTTGTATTTTACTATTTAAATAATGCATAACAAGTACAGCAAATTAATTAAAGCAGAGTTCTGAGATTAAATTTAATATGCACATCCGTTTCAAAAAATAAATAAATTGAGGAAAAATCTCAGAAAAACTTTGATTTTGATTTGGCGACTGAGGCCATTGTTAAATAATATGAAGTTATTTTTTATAGTTAAAATAATATTACCTGATGGAGTTCGATGGATAATTATAACATTTCCTCTTACAGTAGTTAATCTGAGACCAGGCGACAACCGACTTCTGTAGTATGCACCAGGGACAACGTGTGACCAGAAAAGTTCTACAAATAATTAAATTTCAATTAAGAGAAACAAAAGAAATATTCATATACTCAGATATTCTTAAATTTTGAAATATTTTTATACCTTGAATTGCATGTCTACATATTAGAAGTCTTGAAACAAATTTTACAGTGTAAATCATGCTGAAATTTTACAGTGTAGATCTAACAATGTATTATCTACACTGTAAAAATTCAGCATCAAATTGAGGCAAAAAATATTGACACTTAGAATATCAGTTCTTTTTACCGTAAAATTCATTTTTACCGGAACATGTTGTGGAACAACAAACTTGTTATACTGTAAATTTTACTTCAGTAATTGTCATAAAAATCTCCGAATCACTTAAGTTAAATAAATATTACTGTAAAAATCATGGTATAATATTTCAAGTTAAAACTGGGTTTTACGATAAAATGGATCTTAAGGATGATGTACCTTAAATACTTTATACCGTAATTTGATCAGAAATGTTTTGCAGTGTTGACAGTGAGAAGTAAAAGAGAAACTTTTTTTTTTTAATGGCGGGCACTTGGAGCTATTGTCCATTGGCCACAGAAAGTGCCAGAACTGCTAATTCTCNGAAAACTAAAACTATTAGCTTTTAAATTTTTTACAGGAGATTTTTAAACACTCTTGTTTTTTTTATCATTTAAATAATGTATAACATGTAGAACAAGAGATTCTGAGATTAAATTCAATATGCACATCCTTTAATGAAATTTAATTAAATTAATTAAATTTAATTAAATAATTAATTAATTAAATTTAATATGCCATCCCCTTAAAAAAATTAATGAATTGAGGAAAAATCTTCGTGAAACGATTTTTCGGAAGCATCATTATTAAATAATATAAAGTTATTTTTAACAGTGAAAATAATATTACCTGATGGAGTTCGATGGATAATTATAACATTTCCTCTTACAGTAGTTAATCTGAGACCAGGAGACAACCGACTCCTGTAGTACGCACCTGGGACAACGTGTGACCAGAAAAGTTCTAAAAAAAATTAAAGTGCAATTAAGAGAAACAAAAAAAAATACTTATATATCCAGACATTCTTAAATTTTGAAATATTTTTATATCTTGTTTTATATGTTTACGGATTAGAAGTATGTTGATGCCTTATTCTATTCTAACAAAGTATCTACACTGTAAAGATTCGACACCAAATTAAGGTATAAAATATCGACACTTAAGAGTACAAGTACTTTTTACTGTAAAATCTATTTTTACCGGAACATGTTGTGGAACAAAAAAACTTGATGTACTGTAAATTTTACATTAATAATTCCCATAAATATCACTGAATCACTCTAATTAAATAAATATTACTGTAAAAATTATAGTATAATATTTTGCGTTAGAACTGGATTTTACGGTAAAATGGATTTTAAGGATGATGTACCTAAAGAACGTTATACCGTAATTTGATCTGGAATTGTTTACAGTGTTGACAGTGAGAAGTAAAAATGAAACTAAAGGTAGACAACAGTGTGGCTAGATAAAGTTGTTTGCTATTAAATGAACTGAAAGCACCTGAGTAAAATATTATATATAAGTATCTCCAATTTACGTTGCTTTAGGTAAAAGTGGAATATGTTTACTATTTATTAAGATTAAATATTTTAAATTAAAAACCTAAATAAGGAGTTTATTTGTTATAAATGTCAAATGCAAAATTGTACCATAAAAATAAATTTATACGTAATATATATCGTGATAGGGAAGTAGAGTAGATGTATAAGTAGTTAATTTGTATTGTATATTAATTTGTATGATATATTGTACGTGACATATAAGGAATTCATGCATTAACCAGATAAAAGAAATGTAAATGACAAAAAGTAAAGAAATATAGTAGCCGTTTAAAGTTGAAAATGTTCATAGTATTGCCGCTTTTAATTGGCGTATTAGAATTTAAATATGACTAACTAAAAAATAAAACCCTTAAGCTGATAAGGATATAAAATAGAAGTAGAGAGCAGAAAACATTTATAAGAAATTTATAACACTTTATAATATGTATAACGTATGATGAGGAGATATATTTACCTGATAAGAAATTTGTATCTTGCAATTGATACGGAGGTAGAGTAGACAGTGCAGCATCAGTCGGTGCAAAAATAGTGTAGACTGAACCATCTGAAATCAAAATAAGCATTTTTGTGATTCATCGTAAGAAATTAGATTTCCCCAAATAATAATGAATATGCAAGTACCGTTGTTGATGAGGCTTTGTATATTCGGCCGAGATTTGATAATTTGCTTAAACTGTGGGAAAGGCTGTAAAGCATCAGCAACATTCCGCGATGTAGACGGGAGGATTACTTTGTCAGTGACTAATATCATTCCATCTGCAGCTTGACGAACTGAAAGAACTCTGGCGCCCCCTACCATCAATGACTGAAAATTTTAAAAAAAAAATTATATTAGTTACTATTCTTAAAAGATTCTTCCTATTATATAATTATCACTTGTCAGAATAATAAAAAATATAAGATGCATGTAAAAATTGCACTAGTCAAAATAATTGTAAAAAAAAGTCTAGTTGAAAGATTAAAAAATACAAAAAGTACTGATTAAAATACTTCAAAAAATAAAATTATACTAGTTAGATTAAAATAAAATTATACTAGGTTTAAAAATACAAAAATAATGTCAAACAAAGGATTCAAATAATGAAAACTAACAATTATCAAAATTTTAAAAGATTGAGAACAACAGTTATCTAAGTATTAAAGTATTAAAAAAACGCTAAATGAATATTTAAAAAATATGAAAGTAGCACTAATCAAAATATTAATTGAAAAAACTTTTTCTCAACTCTAAGAGGCCCTTTTGAAACAAAAAATGGGATTAAGTTTTAAGCTTTTTTATTCTCCAAAATATATTTCATTTCACAACGAAACTTAAAATTGAAAACTTTCTGAGAGTAAAAACAGAAGATTGGAATACGTATTGTAATAAATTAACAACAAAGTAACTTAAACAGATTTGTGAGTGAGTGCATTACAAATAATAAATGGAACCTTGTTGGAATTAATTATTTTATATGATAAAGCATATTTCATGTTTTCAGTGCGTAAAGTGATGTGATGAGTCTAGAGGAAGCTATAAATTATACTCATTCTTCTACCTAAATGAAGCTTTGTATTTTAGACTGATAAATTCCGTATTCATTATACCCACTAAGTAAGGGGAATTATAAATAATAGTGTTATATTGAAGTAAGAATATTAAAATTAGTTACTCGAATTTTTACCACCGTAGGAATAATGGTAAAAAAATCAATATTTATAAAAAATAGCGCTAAGTGCACTACACTGTTAGAATTTTCATTTTAAAATTATGGTAAAATAACCGTCAGCTGTCTATCTATCCAATTAACAGTAAAGTTTACAGTGGGGAACCTCTTTTAACTGTACGGTTTTCAACCGTTTACAACTAGTATATTTAAAAAACCATAAATACGAAATTATACCATTTTTTAACCATATACAAGAGACATGGTTTCAAAATTGTAAAAAAAATAACTGAATATTGCAGATAGTTTAGCAGCCTTATGGCTTTGTCATCAATGCGTGATTGAAAGTATCGTGTTCTTATTGTACAGAATGACAAATTAAAGAGTGCAGAACACCGGAAACACTTCATGTGTTGAAGGGAATGCAGGGAATGATACAGCGTCAACGCAGGGAGTCGAACTCTCATTCTGATCGTCATGAAATTGACAGATTTGACCTCTAGGCTATAATGTGTACACAGTTGCAGGGCACTAAGTGTCTTCATTATGTGGGCCTCGTTGGTGAAGTAAAATCCTGGTTGTTTAACCATATTAGGGGACAGCAGTTAATAAATAGTTTTTCTCACAGTTAACAATTTCAATACCATCTTATTTAGGGTCATTTCACTATTTTGTTGGAATAGGGCAAAATAACAATTAAATAAATTGTTATTTAACTATTTTTCCGAGAAATTTCTAACAGTGTATATTTGACTCACACTTCCACCGTTGAGAGAGCTGATAATGACTGTTCCTCCCAAAGACTTCACAGGTTGATCTCTATCTTCTCCCGTCGTCAGATTTAATTGACCCTCCATCATTTGTGAGAGTAGCATACGTCGTAACAAACGAGAATTACGACGAAGACGATCCAGTACATTCTGTCCAAGTGCTTTGTAAGCATTGTCCGTTGGAACCAGTATAGTATATCCTATATCTGATCCTAACAACAAAGAATAAACAAAGACACTATTAACACAAAGTTTATTTTTTATAAACTTTAAATGAATAAATGATCGAAACATAATGCTCACCATTAATCCTTAAGGATACTAAGCAATAAAGATTTTAAAGGAATATTAAAAAACCATTGACTTTGGCAGTATGATTTTCAATAAAATTTGAGTGGTGAAATATAAAAACATAATGCTCACCATTAATATTTAAGGCAACAAAGATTTTAAAGGAGTATTAAAAACCCATTGAATTCGGCAGTATGATTTTCAATAAAAATTTGAGTGGAAAAATATAAAAACATAATGCTCTCCATTATTTTTATGTGTACTAAGCAATAAATAATTTTAAGGAATCTGAAGAAACAATTAAGTTTGACAGTAGGTTTTTTTCAAAAAAGCTTGAATGAATAAATGATAGAACCATAATAAACACCATTATGCCCCAGTGTACTAAGCAATAAAGATTTTAAAGGAATATTTTAAGAAACGGTTAACTTTAAGACTATATTTTTCAATAAATCTTGAAGGAATAAATGATGGAAACATCATGTTCGTGGTTATTCTTCAGCGTGCTTAGAAAGGAAGTATTAAAGGAATATTAAAAATTTATTAACTTTGTCGCTGCATTTTTCAATAAATCGTGAATGAATGAATTATAGGTACACAATGGTCATCAATGTTCACAAGTGTACAAAGCAAAAACGATATTAGAGGAATATTAAAAGTAATTAATTTAAACACTATGATTTTCAATAAATTTTGAATAAATAAATAATAAAAACATAACGCTTAAATTATTCAAAAGTGTGCTTATCAATAAAGATTTTAAAGGAATATTTAAAAAAAAATTAACTTTAACATTATATTTTTTTAACAAAATTTAAATGAATAAACGGTAAGAACATTTTGCTCACCATTATTCTAAGGTGTGCTAAGCAATAAAAATTTTAAAGGAATTCAAAAAGCAATTAGCTTTGACACTATGTATTTCAATAACACTTGAATAAATTAAGAATCGAAACACAATGCTCACCATTATTCCTAAGTGTACTAAGCAATAAAGATCTTCTAAGTAAGGAATTAGCCGTGGTAAATGTCATTCTTTTGCCGTCGGGTAGCTGAAGGGGTGTTGAGATAGTTTTAGTTATAGAACGTGGAATAGCTGGAGGTGGCTCCCTGTAAACTGGAACAGGCAAAAATTCATCTGCCATAGAAGGAGGATCTGGAAAAAAATTAATACTTTTTTATAGATTTTTGTAGTCAAACTAATTTAAAACTTTCAATAAAAAATTATGAAAAAAATATTTTTATTACTGAAATATTCATTCAAATAATAAATTGGAATTTAATGTAATGTTTGTTTTCAATTAAAAATGGTGACAAATCGCATAGTTAGAATACAGGAAAAGGAAACTTGATTCCTGAAATGCACGCAAAAATCTTATCTCATAGCATGTGGGCAATTTCTACAATTATTTTTCACGAAATATAATTTAAGTGTCTTATAGATTGAACTTTAAAGAAGACGTTTGTCGTTATAGCTACAGATACAGTTTGAAACATTTTTACAACTAATAGGAGTGCTGAATAGCTATTTTTAATGATTAATATTTGTGTTATAAACAAAATGTAAGGTTTAGCTGCACAAGAAGTTCGTTAATGATCAAGCGATATCTTACAAAAAGTTGTGCGATTTAAATATTAAAATTGAGTTTTAAATAATTCGTATATTGTTTTTAGATTATTAAAAGCTTCTAATTCATTTAAAACATTTAAAAAAAATTTCAATCAAAACCAAGTTTGTTTTGACTATTTTGTGTACTTTAAAAGGATTATAAGTTGGTATATGATAGATTACTTTGTTTATTTAATCATCTCAGGACTTATAACTCAAGATTAGAAAGTGTTATATTATCAATATAAAAACATAACCATATTACATACTCAAGGAAAAAATTAAAAAAATAATATTAAATAAGCATGGGATGCAGTAAAATTGAAGATCAAAATATAAAATAGGAATAAAAAAAAAACCGATAGGTAGGAATAGTGAATACTGTATTGAACTGAGGAAGCTACTCCCACAGTGGAGTACTTTTATTTTTTCCAACATGGAAAACATTGGAAACGATGACAATGATTGTTTGCTAACAAATATTTAAGACAGTTCACATAAATGTATATTTACCTGGTAACGTATTCATTGTAAATGGTGGAGGTCCAATTGTTACAGGGCGCCTTCTAGAATGCAACTCAGGGGGTAAAAGCAATCTATTAATTGCGTGTATGACACCATTATTGCAAGATACATCGGATTTCACCAAAGGAACTCCATTGGCAAGAATGAGACCTGTGTCAAATATTGAAAGATTTTTCATTAAACTGAGCTAAGTTAAGCTTATTAAAACAATTAAGGACAGGTTTTTTTCTGAATACTAGAATTATACATATGGTATTTAAAAGGAAATATTTGAGTTGATAGTGGTTTAACTCACCTCTTCTGTTAGTAAAATGAACTGGTTCCCCTCCTAATGTTCTCAAAGAATATCCATGGGCCAATACAGCACTATAGTGAGTTCCTGGTACCACGTGGTTTAAAAGTACCTCTAGATTTAAAACAAGGCTCTAATTAGCAAATATATTTTGCATTAAAAGTTCTAGTTTTTTTTAAAATATCTCGTTATCCTTAAGTTTTTTTTCTCCAAATGATAAAAAGAATAACCTAGACTGAAACGAACTTTTTGAAAAGTTAATCCCTTAGTATATCAATAATATAGTGCAATAGAATAATACGTCATTACTGAAAATATTTTTTTTCTGTCAAACTCGTTCTATTTTTAATTTTGAAGATATTTTAGAAATTTAAATAAAAAAAGATGCTTTTAAATTTTTATATATGAATTCTATATATATTTTCTATATGAAGAAGTATTAAATTTATCATGGTATCATTTTTAACAGGGCTCAAATAAAGTTAAACTGTGTAAATGACAATACTAAAACTTATACTTTTATTTCATTTATATAGATAAAAATGAAGGAAAACTGAATTAACACAAGAAAGGCTCTTAAGCCTTACTATGAAATTCTTTTTTAAGTGAACAATTTTTTTAAGTTCTGTGACTTTTTCTTTCTGCACTTAATATTAATAATTTTATTTATAATCCTTCCAAGCAGTTATTTTCTGTAAAAAAAATAAGTGTTCAAGAATTTAATTCATTTCTTATAAGATATTTAGAAATTATTTTTCAATTATACTTATGATGATTTTAGATATATAAAAAAGGATCTATATGAACTTACTAGTTAATAATGTTATATTATTGCTTAGTTTTTCTTCAATTTCTGGCGTCAAGGCTTCGAAAGCTTCATCAGTGGGTGCAAAAAAGGTAAATGTTCCACCTAGATGAGAAAGAAAAACAGAATAAATATTTTAATCTGTTAATATATATTCTGATTTGGATATATGAAACTAGCTATAATTAATTATAATGGATTCCTTTGGATTGCAAATAAATTTCTTGGAGGTACCAACCAAGAATTTCATTATCATTTGATCGTAATGATTTTCCGTATCCTTTTGTGTAAAAAGGAGTTCGTTTTTGGCAAACGTTAATAGGATAAAAAATGTCAAAAGTTAAAAGGGATAACATAAAGGATTTACTCGTGCCATGCTCGATTGTGAATAATATTACTAGCAAATTACAATCTTTTACTAGTTGGTAATTGGTTGGAGCCATAGACACCACCAAATTTTCTGTTTTTGGATAACTCCTTTCTTTATAATTTTGACGTTTCAACTTATGTACATTTTGACGTACTATTGACGTAAATAATATGTGAAAATAACGTACTCATTCTTATCCAGTAAAAAGTGGCTGGTAAAATATTCTTAAAAGAAAAGAATTTGTTAAAGTCAAATTTTATGTAAATTTTCTGTTTTTTGGATAACTATTTTTTGTTTTAAGTCGACGTCTCAACTTACGGAGACTTTGAGGTATTGTTGACGTAAATAATATGCAAAAATAACGTACTCATTCTTACCCGGTAAAATGTGGTTGGTAAATATTCGTAAAAGAAACGAATATGCATACGTAAAATGTTATGGTTAATTAAACTAGGTTTCAAATCTCATATTTTCTGGGCTTATTTATAGGTGGTGAGGGAAATAAACACTTCAGCTGAAATAAGGATTCTTAAGGATTCTAAACCAAGAATCAAGTAATAAATATTTCTCAACAAAGCAAATAAATTGGTATCTTTGATCAGAGCTGACGAATTGATAAAATGCATTATAAAACTAATTTTGTGCCTTAGAAACCTTTAATAACTTGAAAAAAAATTGGTTTAAACTGGCGTTAGACAGAAACACGAATTAATGATTTTAAAGTCTTTTAAAACTCAACTTACTGGAAAGCTTCGGTCCAAGTGCTGTTTTCATCAGGAAATCATTTAGTCTTGGAAAAGTCAGCTTTATCTCGGTCAACAAATCTTCATTGGAGATTGGATACAGCACTCGGTCGATGGGCTGTATTCTTACATAGCCCGAATCTCTTGCGTCATCCAGAAATTGAGATCCTGACACACTCAGCATCTACTTCAAAGTAGAAAAAAAAATATTTAGCAAAAATCAGCCTGCATGTAAAAATAATTGTTCAATTCATAACTATTGATCTAATGACTGTATTTCTACCCACCATGAATATGAATCATGTTTGAAAGGGCCAACCTCATGCTTCTTCTAGTTAAGCATACTGTTTTTTCTATGGATTAGTATTTATGATAAATAAAAAAAGTTTGGTACTTGAAAATGTAAAAAAAAAATGCAGTTAAAATAGCTCAACTTCGAGTACCATCTGCAGATTTTTAATCCTTAAAATTTGGGAGATAGCTGAAACCTTTGAAAATTGCCCAGCTTGGAAAACCGTAGACAAATTTTTTATCTTTGAAATATGAGAAATAGCTGGAATGTTAAAAGTATGGTTCCAATAGTATGCACTTTTTTTTCCTTTCAGAGAAATCAATTTCAGTTAAATTACTCCGTGAAGGTTGTTTTTTCATTAAAATTTTTTTTAAAAAATGGAGCACTGCTAACATATGCAGCAAAAACCATTGATTCTAACTTTAGAATATTATAAATGCTCTTCAGCTAGTAAAACTTTAATAAAAATAAAAATAATAAAGGATTATATTCCTCAGTATAAGAACAATTAAGAAAACAGGGAGAGATAAAGATAAAGTAAGCACTGAAAATCGTGAAATTGTACCATTAAAAGAAAAATAACATTTGAAATTTTAAAATTTTATCTACACTCACCTGACCTTCATCGTAAACGTTTAATCTAAGAGGTGTCCCACTCGTTCTTAAGGATGGCAGAATGACATCATTTTTGACGTTTACGGGCAATATCCGACCACTAACAATGTGTTGCAATACAAATTCTCTTAGACGATCTGGGTTACTTGGGACAGATATCAGAGAAAATGCTTCATCGGTTGGTGCAAACAGCGTCACTGGCCCTGAAAACATCAATTATAATTTAGTAAAATTTAATAATTGATGGGCTTGTGAAAATATAATATGACTAACTTTTATATCGTTTAGAAATTGAAACCTAAAACACAATTTTAGGTTTCGCTCAAAAACAATGTTAAGCTTAAGGGGTTTATGAAATTGTGACAGTTTAGGTTAAGGTGAATGAAAGAAGTAACAAGTGAAAGAAATGTGATATTAACTGTATATTGGTTCAAATCAAAACATCTAATTATATTTTTATCCTACTTTTATTTCAAGTTTATTTTAAAATGTTAACAATGCAGCTTTCTAAAAAACAATTTCGGATTCACTTTTACTTTTTTTTATATAAAAAATTGATACTGACTAAGTAAGTTCTTTAATTTTCAAAACACTATTTTTTAAAGTTAAAATCATAAGGAAGTGTTTTGATTCATTAAAAGTATATAAAAAGTTAAAAATCACAAATTTGGCGCAATTTATTGAAATCTTATTATTTTTTCATATAAAGCAAATCTACATCTACTTGTTATTATTGAATTATTGTTAAGCTCACAAATGTCATTAAAACACATTGTTAAAGTTAATCTGAAGGATAACCTATATCGTAGCGTTCTATTTCTGAAAGTAATATTTGTTTATGTAGCATAATGAGATACGTGACAAGAAAGAACAGTTGGGAAGCACGGTGAAGTGTGACACCTTGTGACAAAGAGGAGGACCGAGTCAAAAATAATGAAAAATATATATGACATCATTTACAGCACCCCTTATAAAAGCGTTAAAAACAAAATTCACCAAGTTTTCTATAAAGACTATAAAGTGTTAGTGTGTATTGTGCTGTAATCTAATAGAGATTATTTTAAATACGTAAAGTTTAGGCCTAGATACAATATTAGGGTCCTATTTAATGTAAAAAAAATTGTTTTTTTTGTTAGTTTGTGAGAATCGCTTCAGTTATTGTTAGAGTTTCATTTTTTAAATCGTTCTGAAGGTTTTTTAAAATCGACTTTATTCTTAATTTTAATTGAAAGGTATTCCACCCAATTAACTTCCTCACTGTAAGATCAATACATGTCACATTTTTTTCAAACCTTCAATGCAACAGTGTTTCCTAACCGTCATTCTTAATACATAATGTTTGAATCCTATCCAAAATAGAAGCAAAAAATACATTTATAATTAAACGATGTAAATGAATTTGTGATGAATCATTTGGCGAATCAGATACTAAGAAGGCGAAATAAAAAACATAAAAATCGGACTATGAGAGGGGGATAAAAACTGTTATTAAAAATTCTGGCCAAAAAACTGGTCTTCGTGTTTTTAACTCTACCTTCTCCAAATGTTGCTTGCAAATCTTTTAAAAAAATGTTTCCTATTATTTCCTTTTCTTATATATTATTTTTGCTTCATTTATATATGAAGAGTGGTGATTACAGAACACTTAATATATATGATGGTACAAAGTACTTGCTGAGCTTCACTTTAAGAATGATTTATTTTCAATTCTTTTAATTAATTGTGTTAATTTTTTGTATGAAAATTTAAACGTATAAATTCTCATTTATACGTTCTTGGTCTCTATTTACCCATTTTCTTTCTGTGTCAATGGGGTACCTGCAGGTGACGTAGTGGGGATACCTCGATCCTGATTGGTTGTTGAAACGGGCATTTGTATACGTTAGCAACTGTTCTTTTCATTCTATTTTGGATAAGACATCTCAGTCAAGTATCTATTCTATAAAATGACACATTCTAAATTCTTACACAAACATTTTTTTCTCAAAGATTTCATTTCTTTCACTATATATTTACACAGAGACTTAACGCAAAGACAGGCACAGAGGCATGTAATTTTGCATCGAAGTTGCCAAGTGCATAAAACAATAAAATACGTAAACACATAATAAATCTAAGTTAAGTAAAAGAAGTAGACTACAAGGAATTATATTTCAACTAGTAACTCGATATGGGATACGGCTATGTATTTAATTAACGTATCTTTTAACATTCTAACTTATGTTCGAAATTTCGCTCAGCCTTAATGCGCCATTTTGCTGATAGGGATTAGCTGGCGGTGTCGTCATGGGTCAAATAAATGGGCATGAGTGGTCTTCTTCTTAAACAGCAAGTGTTCAATTATCAGAATTCCCATCTAAATTATACATAAGATGCAAAAATTAATGGCATAAACAAGCATTATAATTAACATTACCCCCTCCTTGCAGCTCCTTCTGCAACTGTGTAAAATCGATGATGGCAGCCATTCTTCTCAGTCCCATTTGTGTTAGTGTCCCTAACAGACTAACTCTAGGAGTTATTCCGGGTGAGATTAAGATAGGCTGAAAAAAATATAAATAATGACTTGTTGTGTTAAGTTACAACTGATAATAAGCTACAACTGATTTTGGCTAATTTACATGCACTGGAAAACAAACAATTCATAGTTATTAAAAGGATATGTTTAATAAACAACTCTGATGTATCAGACCTATTGATGTATCTTTACCAGACGAGGAAATAAAATTCTTGCATAGCAGATGGTACCATCAAGAAAGAAATTAATTTTCGAAGAAAGCTTTTGATTTTGGCCATCTCATTCAAAATAATCTATCAAATGGAAATCATCAAACTTTTTGTTTCGGGATTTAAACCGAAATTTAAAACATGCCACGAAACACTTTTGAAATTTCATGTGGTCATATTTTTCTTAATGCTGCTTTCCGTAACTCTGTCACCAAGGAAAAGAATAGTTTAAGTGCCTTACACTTGAAGCAATGCGATGATTTTAAACTATTATAAACTATTTATTAAACGATGTATTCTTGTTCTATGTATTCTATTGATTTTAAACTATGTATTCTTGTCGTTCAGAATTATCTGGGCTTTAGAACAGACAATTAACCTAAATATTTTAAAATAATATTTTATAAAAATTATTTTACCTAAATATTTCATAAAAATCACCTATTTGGCTTCATTTTTATACCGAGATGAAACTTATCAAAATCACTGCCTTATTCTCAGCTTTTGAAAATTTTTATGAGTCCAAGTAATGCATCATTGGAGTAAGCTTTTAAATATTAAAAAATTAGACCACAAATGCTTTTCATTTTCACAAAACCGTGGTTTTTCTCCCTATTGACGTCTTGTGTCAGTTTTAAAATAAGCGTGGACAGCACTAGCTTTACCTAGACTAAACTTGACCTAATAGTCATAAGTAACAGTTGGAAACTTACAGTAGTAATGAAAATAGCATATTATTCGCAAAAAGCATCATTTCATACTACGACGGAGCCTTCGAAAAAGTGCTTTAAACATGTTAGTTGAGAGGAATAAAAAAATTCGTTTGACCTATTAAAGACTATTTGCCTAACAAATTTATAAAAAATTACACAATTGTATCTACTCTTTTATAGTAAATTGATGCATAAACAATTTTCTATATATTCTTTCATACTACCATCTAATTTTGAGAAAACTTTTGAAACTAGGTAGATTTCAAAACGAATTATTTTTAAAAAAATATTCAAAAAATTTTAAAAAATTTTGAATTGGATTAGAAAAGACAAAAATAAATCTCAAGTCGGATTAGCAAAAACGAAAAATAGATCTTAAATTGAACTAGCATTCGGTGGTTACAATGGAAAGGTCACAATAATGGAAGATCTTACTAAAGACCGTAGACTGTATATTTATGAAGTTATGATTATCAAATAAACTGCGCATAGTTTGCAAGAAATTACCTGAATCCTCATAACCGAAGATTGCCTTGTTAAGGTTGGAGCTGCATTGGTTTGGTCAGGATTTCTTACTCGTATCAAAATTCCATCAGAAGGCACAACACGAATGACTAAGGATAAAAGAAACACATTCAGAAATAATAAAACTTGTTTTTTTTTAAATCAGATATTGAGTTATTTTATAAAAAATATGTAAAAAGATAACGTAACCCTGAAAAGATATGAATTTGCTTCTTTCTAGTGACTATGGTTAGAACATAATTGCATTAAAAATGAGAATTTAAATAATTCTTAAACTGAATCACTCTGGTCAAATAAATGAATATACATTTACACACTGGTCCAACAACTGGTCCACTGAAGATCAGATCAAGGGGTGATTATATAAAATCCTGTTTTCATAGATTTTTCCTATTCTGTAGAAACAGATTTAGATAAATTTTTCAAATTTAAAAGTGAGTAGAATTATAATAATCTTCGTTCATTCAAACAACAACCAATCAAAATACTACATATATTTAAAACGTGCTCATATCTCTAGCAATACTCATTTAAAACTCCTATATTCGATATTTCAGGTTTTTTTTATAAAAAATTAAAGTTAAATTAAAAATTTCTATCCTGAAACAATTCAAAGTGTGAAAAATTTATGTGTAGCGTTTACTAAGAAAAAGAAGGTACATAGCACAACAGCTATGAAACCTTTTTAAATTTCTATTGGATATTTTAATTCCTTGATGTAACGTTAGTAAGTGACTTCGTTATTGGTTAGAACCTGATTGCATATGAAGTTTTACTCTGTTTATTGAAGCTCGGTCCCCAAGGAAAATAAAAAAATCCATAATTAAGGTGTATTACACTTGAATCAATGCGATGATTTTAAACTATATACATAATCTTGCCGTGAAGAATGATCAGAGCTTTATAACAAACAACTATTTTAAAAGTTATTAAACTTTTTAAAAATCGCCGATTTGGCGGCATATTTCCACCTAGATGAAAATCATCAAAATCACTGCCGTATTCTCAATTTTTGTAAATTTTCATGAGCCAGGTAATGCAGTAATGGAGTAAGTTTTCAAATATTGAAAAATTAGACAGCAAACTCAAAAAACTGTGACTTTTCTCCATATTGATGTTTTGAGCGATTTTCAAAATTAGCGTAGACAGCACTGGTTTTAGATTGGCTAACTGGAACTAACAGTCAAGAATAGTAGTTGCAAACTCACTGAAGTTAAAAAAAAACCATATTTTTCACAAAAAAAAGCATCATTTCATATGAATACTTCGAAAAACAGGCTTTAAAAGAGCTTTGTCCAAGAGATGATGACGCAGTGTATGTTACAGATTCACTATTTATTGTTTTGAAGCTATAAATTTACTTTGTAACATATTTAGTATTTATACGATTTTAAAATACACAATTCATACTGTTACTCACTTACATACTCTTTACGATATTCACAATATACAATTCGCTTTGTGCGTTACATATTCAGCCATAATACTATCAATTTTATACTTACAATTTTATCAATTTTATACTATTTTATACTATCAATTTTATACTATCAATTTTATATTACAAAATTTGTACTTTTCAAAATACATAATTCGCTTTGTGCATTGCATATTAACAATTTATGTGTTTCAAAATACAAAATTCACTCTGTTCGTTACATATTCACTATTTACACCTTTCAAAGTACAAAGTTCACAATTCATCCGTTCAAATATTTTTAAAGATAGTGAAAATAGCGTTCATAAATTGCAACATTAATACTTGTAGCGTATCTACCACTACGAAATTACTACTACAATTCACTAGTATATAAGACATGTTAACTCGACTCTATGTCGGGGTACCTTTTCATAGATTCATTGTCGATATCCACTCTCCCCACATTGGTGATCCGGACGTGATGTGAACACGCCTACTTTGGCAGTAACGTCCACTTCGTTCTGAACGCGCCTTCTTCGATGGATGGTCCACCGTTGACTTGCTACTTGTGACTGCGATATTATCCCCCTCCTGTTGCTACTCAGTCTCAATTAAACGCAACGTCGGCCTGCATACAGTCGACTGCTAAAGGCAACACAGGAGCGACTGCGACCATGATCTTAATACAGCTCTCATGACTAATGTTCAAAGTCCGGTGACCTTAATCTAGCTCTCCCGGTCTGTCACAAATACAGCAACTAGTGGTATCCATGTATCGAATTGTATCACAGCTATAATTCTGGTGGGGGAGTACTGTAGCATATCTACCACTACAAAATTACAACTACAATTCACTAGTATATAAGACATGTTAACTCGACTCTATGTCGGGGTACCTTTTCATAGATGAAGGTTGACATTGTCGATATCTACTCTCTCAACAATACTCAATCATATTTGAAAACTATCGCAATGTGTGCAATGGGGGTAAAGTTAATTTTATTTTGTGTAATATCAATTTTATTTTAAATTTGTGAGTATACTTTCGTTTTATTTGAAATATTTTTTAAGAAGAAATGACGAAAAATAATGAAAAGGTTACGAGTAAGGGATTGTGTTATACTTTGGACCAATTTTTTTATGCTGATTGGAATGTTTGAAGTAACTTAGAACGACAATATACGTTTGCCAACTAATATAATTTTACTACGAAGTACAGAGGTAAAGCTATTTTCCCTACATTTAAATTAACAGACGGAATTATTACTTACGCTAAATTACATAGATTACATAGAATTACATAAATTACATAGTAATTACATAGACTGTAATAGAAAATTTCTCCTCTAGGTGACGCAAATATTTGCACTGGTTTGACATACTTCTGGTTCAAAGTATAGTACTTGCTTTTTATATAATTGAAAATAATTAACAGATATAAAAAGTACAAGTAAAACTTCAAGTACAAAGTGGAAATTGTATAATAATGTTACACCGAAAAATAGAGTCTATAACCCTTATTTGGAAGAATGATTTTTCTTTTGACTCGAGGGTACAAAGGTACCGAAGTACAGCAGTTTTTCCTTGCATTTTGAAGAAAGTAGCAGATGAAAAATAAAAATGAAAATTTAAGTACAGGCTGGAAGACGCATAATATAGTTTTACAATAGAATAACTATTGTCTATAACTCTCCTTAGGAAGAATTAACAATTTTTTTACTCAATGTATACATTAGTGGTTAGGTTAATGGGTCCTGCTTGAGTTTAACTTAAAAGCAATATTGAGAACTGTACAGTTTAAAATAAAATTTTTCCTTCAAAACAATAGTGATATAAATCTTTATTAGCCGCCTTTAACGATTAGTAAGTCTACAATTCTAATAACTTAATTGGTTTTAAATAATATATTAACCAAATTTTTTATCACCTACCAGTTGCCAGCAGCTTTGCCGACGTGGAAATATCTTGATTTTAATTTTAACTATTTTCATATGCGCTTTATTTTCAAAGTTCTTTTTGTATTGAATTTTAGTAGCAATTTAAGATCTCTCCGGCAGCCATTTAATTACACAAACCACCGCAAGTATGAGTTTGGAACATTTCATCATAGTAGGCAGTAGAAGTATTAAAATTATTTCTATTTCTCTTTTGCTATAATACAGAAAACTCATACTAATCCATTACCATTAAAAACTTCAAGGACATAGCCAATTTAATGTTCCTCCCTGGTTTTCAGTTGAAAGAGAAAAGTTTTATAACTTTCTAATAAATCAAAGGATCATTTAAAAAAAATGTGAAATGAAGTTACAGAATGATAGAAATGATCATTTAAAAAATGTGAAATGAAGTTACAGAATGATAGAAATTCAGGCGTGAGAGTTTAAATATAAACAATCCTGTTATCGCGAAGTGTTTTTCTCCTGTTTTCTCAAATTTATCATTGATTTTGTGATGCGTGACAACTTAAGGGAGAATAGAGAGAGAAATGTATTAAAGTATGGAGATTGTTAGATTTCACAGTGTCAATGCTTTGATTGGGTTTTAATCCAAACATTGATACAATAAATAAATGTGCCTAACCTTCAAAAATATAGCTAAATTTTCAGTGTTAAATCTGAGATTTATAATCAAATAAGGCTCCATCCCCTTTTAACTCTTCATATAAAGCTTAGAAATTTTAAACCATAAATAATCTGAACTTATAACCTTTCTGTGCGAAACATATTTACGCGTATGAGCAAAATTACACGCAAAATTAAGTTTGTTGAACTTTTACCTTCACAATGGAATTTGACTGAGAGTAGTTACTTTGCAGTTTTACTGCAGACCCTTGACCTACAGGTGGGTGCAACAAAAATCTGAATTTCGTCTTAAATGTTTATCAGTTCCTTTTAACATCCACAGAATATAAACAAGGTGCAATTATATATGATGTGTGATGAATCTCTTGATTTTTAGGTCAGTAATTTTATTCTTAAATTAATACAATGCTACCTTGACAGAACTACGCTCTTATTATTAAACCTTGAAATTGACACACTAATGAGTTTCTAAAATATCAGGCTCATAATTTCAAGACAGAGAATAATACAATCGTCTCTCGAATACTACAAAATTAATACCTACAATAGTGGCTCAAATGCTATAATATTAAAATAGTAACTCGAATATTAGAATAGTATTTCATGCATATTTTTTTTCCGAAATTTCTGTATTAGTTTCTTGAATACCATAATATTTTAATAGTTTTTTGAATACCATAATATTTTAATAGTTTCTTGAATAATACATTATTATAACAGTTTCTTAAACACTATAATAGTTTCTTAAATACTATAATATTATAATAGTTTCTTTAATACTATAATATTATAATAGTTTCTTAAAAACTATAATATTATAATATTGAATATAATATTATAGTTATAATATATTATATTATATTGAATATATATATTATAATATCCTTGAGCACTATAATATTAAAATAGTATCTCAAATACTATGATATTGCAATGACATCCCAACTACCCTAATAATATGTCAGATACTATAATATTCTAATATTGCATTGATTATTGTTATACTATAATACTATCTAGAATAATATAATGGTTTCTTACTTATTATTTTAAATTTTTTCAATACTATAATAATAATTCGAATGCT